CTTCCTGCAATTTTTTAAAGACAGAGCCAGTTCCTGAAGGACACTGAATACCTGCAAGGAACTTTGAGGAGTACTGCAGATTCTCAGCTTCTCTTAGGATTTCACCCATAGAAAAGAGTACTAGGAATGCCTTTTTCTCTAGGATGGCCTGAGCCTTGCCTTGAGTATGTGGATGCGTGAACTTTAACACCACCTGTATTTTTCTTCAAGATAAAACCCCCATTTAAACAGGGTCCTCCATGCCTGAGTCTCCACAGACCTAGTTGCATTGTACGCCATAACAGAATCTTCCTCCAATTTTAGACAAGTACTGGGGGGGAGAAGAGATGCCCTTTCTTTTTTGTCCCCACACCACCTCAGAGCAGCTTATTTCAGTACAAACTGAGGACTTCCCCTTTTTTGTTAATCTTCAAAACGCAGCACATTTTGCTATGCTCTGAAACAAAACTAGAATTTCCAAAAGCCCCAAGAACACCACACACTGCAGCCCATCTAGGACTTGTGCAGCGTTTGGTATGAAGCCAGTGGATATTCAGTACAAAAAAGCTCAGGGTTAAAAGCAGCATGTGGAGGATTCAGCAAGCAGCTCTCATTAGTGCCAACAGAAGCCTGGCTACTAAGCCTTCACACCTCTTTAAAGATGTTTCCTCTGTCTTTAATAGAAATTTGCATGAGTCTATTATGAAGCTGAGATCAAGCAGGCAAAAGATTTAGCTGGGGGAAAAAGTTGTAGCCATTAGAAAGCTGGCCCTTTTCCAGAATGGAGCGCATCTGGCCACCAGCTGTGTTTAGAGGACAACAGGCTTAGGGAATAGACCAGGGGAAAATCTGAGAAACAAGTAGACAGTGCTGAAATTTGTTGTGAAAAAGAATACCAGCCTTCCTCTGCGATGTCCAAAACCTTTGCCCTCACTACATTCCTCATCTTTTCCTCTTCCCATCTCTCAAGACAATTATTGGAAAATAGCCCACACTAAGGAGAAGACAGATACCATTTCTGGGCTTGGGAAGGGATTCAGCAGGGCTCTAGAGTCAAAAAAAATGTAAGCGTGGAAACTGGTATCATGTGAGGCAAAGTGGAAATGTGAGAAAGTTCTGGAAACTAAAGGAGGACCTTGTAGAGAGGCAGAAGGAAAGACCTGCTGTGAGGCAGTGCCAGGATACCTGTTAGTCCTCAGTGGTGGATTAGTATAAAAGGACAGATGGAAAGGAACCAAAACAGTCCTTCACTTATTACAGGCTGGGAAGTTATCATTAAAAGAAAAAAAAAACAAACAAAACAAACAAACGCAAAGAAAAAGAAAATCACAAGTTTTTCTAAGGATTTTTTTTTTTTTCCTCCATTTCACCTATGTTGGAGACAATATTTTCCCTCAAAATTTGTAAACTTTTCAACTCATACGAAGCCTAAAAAATCAGATTTTTTTTTGGTATTTTCTTAGATAATAACACCATCTTTCTAAATAATGCCAATAAATTTCTCTGCTGGAAAGAGCCTTATCTGAGGGTTGGTATTCATGGGCACCCACTGAATCTCACACTGCTTTTTAGATTAAATTGACAACAGAGCCCTCCCTCCCCAGCCCCGGATTAATGGAATGAAGAATCCATGCATGAAGCCATGCATAATAAAGCTTGGAGATTATGACACAGGCTAGAAGACAGGATCAGAATTGCAATTGATCTCAATGAAGTGGGGAAATTACCCCAATTAAAGCAGAACAAATTTAATAAGGACAAGTTGAAAGTGTTATACTTTGGAAGGTATAGTAAAAAAATACACAAATGAAAATGTGAACCTGGGAAAGCAGCAGTGAATCACCCAGAAACTACAACAGAACACAGACTAGATCAAAGTCAGCCATGGGATGTTCTGGTAAAATATATTCTGGGATATATTTTCTGATATGTTTTACATAAACCCCAGGAGACAGTAACTCTGCTTTGCTTGTTACTGTATAAAACCCCTGCTGAAGTACTGCATTTTGGGGAAACTGGAGAGTCATGAGGGGAATGACAGCAAAAAGCAGAGACACAAAAAACACTAGCAAAGGAACTAGGAAAGACTATACTAGTGAGGAAAGTAGGATATTTCATCTCATACACAGAATAATCTTATAAGATCTTGTAAGATCATCCGTTCTTCCTGTCAATCAGGGCTTGAAGGTAAAGTGGCTCCATTTTGAGTAAAGAAATTCCAAATAGTCTCTTCGGAAAACTTTCTGGTTATGACAGTGGTGAAGGTCATCGATCCCTGTCAATGGATATTTTAGGAGCATGCAAACAGCACATTCTCTGGTGTGGTTCAGCTGGACCTCCCCCAGCATCACAGCATGGAGAGCTGGACTAAAACCACGGCTGTCAAACTCTGGTCTCTGGATCCACAAATGTCTGCTGACTACTTCCAGGAGAAATGAATGCCACGCACGTTACACAGGGCTGGCTCTTCTGCTGATGAAAGCAACGGGGGTCACAAGTCAAAAACGAATCAAGTCACAATTCCTTTTGTTTAAGCTTCCGTTCAGCTATACATCTATGACTTTGGGATTACCTCTCTCTTGAAGGGCAAAAGGTACTTCCCTTTATCTCTGAAAGAAAACCAGTGAATGTTACCACAGATGCTCTCAATTCATCAGAACGACTAGCACAGAGTTATCAGTGTTTCTTTCCTAATGAGTCCCAGGCAGGTTCCTAAAAATGCTCAAGACATCACCTTCACAGGGCAGTCTGAACACACAGGACTCTACATCCTCCTACCAAAGCACAGGTAGCATTTGAGCTAAAAACAGGGGCACAACACCTGAGGCTATCATTATAGCATTAGATGCTGGACTGCCTATCCACAGGTACACCTGGGGCCACGTTTCCCAGAAAACCTATTTTGCCTATGGATGTATGTGTACACAACTTCTGATGACTTTGTTGGGCACTATGCACATATCCAAGGGAAGAATTTTATTAACATGACTATTGTTTGAAAAACTTTGCTATTTTAAAACATGAAGCTGTGGGATGAGGTCTGCTCCTATCTTGTTATCATTGGCATGGAAAGATGGGTTTCCATGGATGAGGAGGCATACTGAAAGAGAACAAGCATCTGTCCATGTTGCTGTTGCATCAACCATGGTCTCGCTTCTCTGAGACTGCAGCATTCACACAGAAGTTGCCATTAGCTAAACACTGCAAGCAACATCTCGTGTGAGCATCTACTACGCTGAAAAAAAAAGTCTAAGTGACTGACACGCTGTGCCTGTGACATTAGTGGCAGTTTGGGTATTTTTGTTCTTTGTTGCAGAAACTGTAGAGGCTTTACAAGACCAAACATACAGGAGAGTTTACACCTCAGAGTCATAAAACAGCTTCCTACCGTGTTGATAACTAAAGCCAAAACTGTTCTCTGAGTATGCCAAAAGCTATCAAACTGGAAGAGCACCTGATGTAGATACTTCAGCAAAAGAACGAGAGGTTAACATGCACTGTCAAAATAAAACTTCCCAAGTCTGAACTAGGCACAGTTTCTGAATGACATGTTAGAAAATAAATACATTAATGTCACTTTGATATGGAGAAGGCAACATTTTTGCCTACTTCTTGCTGTGGTTATGAGAGACAGAGCATCAGTAATGTTCTGTCACGTAGCAGATTTGTCTTGCTAACAATATGCTGCAAAATAAATGAAGCTTTGACATTAAACCAGCCCCGCTGCTCCGCCATCCCAACCCTGCATTGTAGATAACCTATACATTCTCAGGATACAGCGAGAAATCATTCTACAGTACATATTTAATTATAAGTTAAAAAAAGTCGAACTTGGACACAATCTCTGGCCGGTAGCAAAGTATTGACACGTTACTGAAGTAAAGATCTGTTATTACCCCTTCACTGTAACAGAGAGAAATCAGCATCTCGAGAAGGGTCTCCAGGGGTATCACAACACAACCAGTCGCACCAAATAAAAAAATATGCTAATTTCACAAATGAAGTTTGACAAGAAGTAACATTGCATTTGTCTTGGCAAAATGAAGCACAAACGTAACATTTCACAGGTACAGTTACCATGCAAATGCATGTTGAGTTTCTAATTGTTTTTAACTCCAAATCACGAGTAGCATGCAGTTCTCCTGGCCCCCCCCCAACTACTGTATTAGAGATAGTCTGGGTAATGTACCTCTTTGGCGTAACCATAGCCCATTAGGCAAGATTATACCACCCTAGGAAAGAATACAAGCAAAACTTGGTCATATGTATGTTTACACAATGTACATTTTACCATTTAAAAAAACCCAAAACATGTTACATAGATTCTCAAACACAGCTCTGTTGAAAATTAAATTTTAAGCTTAAGAAATAGTTCTTAAACTACAAGGCCACCCCATTATTTTTTATGAACAATTTAAAAAGTTCCCACCCCTAAAAATCTGCCAGTAGATCTCCTCAGCTGTAACAGTCTTACCCGCTCTCTAATACAGTTGATCTTTGCTTGTCAGCAATAACAGTTCTTACATTTCTTAAATGAATGAGATAAAGGACTCCAGGATAGATATAGTTCTTAGATGTGTAATACTGGAACAAATCCACTTTAAATGATTCAATGTGGGTCAATTCGGGTGTTCCCAGGCACCGCTGCTCAGGCAGGGGCTTCTGCTTTTCACTGATGTGAGTTCTGGCTTTTGGCATCCAGCTCCATGACGTGTGTGTGTGTGCGTGTGTGTTTTCAGCATTTGAGTACAACAGCGATTCACTGGATACTCTTGTACCCTGGTTGCTCACAAACACGGAGCAGCTTTGTTTTCTGTATTCCCTCATCCAAAGGGGGTCGCAGGCCTATTGCAGCACCTTTGGCCAATATAGAACTATTTGGGTGCGAAGTAGAATTTTTTTTTTTTTTTTTTTTTTTTTTTTTTTGTAGCTGTTTAAGCAACTGCAACATGTCTAAGCAACTGCAACAGCAGACTTAACTTGCAGGGTCTTTTATTAGAGGGTTACCAACTTCCTCAGCTTTACACAATGGAGCCCTTTGAAGAAGACAAATGAATTGACTGAATCCTTGTGGCCAACGTCCTCTGTAAGTCCTGTAGTACATTTTGACCAGATGTTTCTCCGTTCTTGTCATACAACAGCTGTTTGAAAGCTTCATTTTCAATGAGGACCATCATATTTTTTAGAAAGTAGCCTTCACAATAGGAAGATAGTTCTGTGACTCCGAGAAACTACAAGAAGTGAAATTAGAATAAGATAACCATTCTGATAAAACCTGCTCAGCAAATACAGTCCACAGGAGCTGCACACAGACAAATACACAAGCTACGCCTTTCAGACTGGCACAGTAACACAGGCACATATGTGGGGAGGACAAGGAGTAAATCAAACAGTAATTTCTGCTGATGACTCTGGTAACATTCCTATGTTATAAGGCTCTGGTTGTTAAGGAAACAAACTTACAAGGGTTGAAACCTTGCTCCTTTGGAAATTGGTGGGAGTTTTACCACAGAGTTCACCAGACCCATGATTTCATGCTAAAAGTTATGCCCTAAAACTACAGGTTTGGGAAAATATACTACAGACCAGGCTTCATAAATGCTATCCTTAGCAAGGATAGGACATACGACTGCAGAAACCTGTCATGCAAAATTTCATGCTTTGAGGAATTTTTGCAGGAGAAGTAGAGGTTGTAAAGCACGTAGTTTGGGGCTGTCAGTACCTCCCTTAGGTTGGACACTGTGTCAGGTTAATAAGCATGGATACTGTAATGTGTGAGCAAACCTTAAATGCATGAGTGAAAACCTATGACCAAACCTTAAATGACCCGTCCTGGTCATCCATCACCCACTGCCAGAGCCTGGAGTCCTACAAAGAGCATAGCTGTGGTATTCCTCTACAGGTGTAATTACAAGCCATGCAAGTGTGGAGAGCAGTGCTCAGCCCACCCTCCCGCCCATCTAAGCTCCCGCTAGGTCCAAGCTCTGAGTAAAGTGGGAACCTTTGCTATGAGGTACAGCCTGAAGGGCCAGAACTGCTGAGGCATTGCATAGTTTGGATCCAGACTTGGAACAACTACACAGCAGTGTTGCCCATCACCTGCTTATCACATTCAGAACTAAGAATGGAAATGGCTAAAAAAATAACAAAACCTGAAAAACACAGATTAGCGCTAGGTAGGACCTACCTGTCTTCCCAAGGAAAATGAATTCATTTAACCTGATTTCAAACCATGCGTGTTTTCATCAAATTATGAGCGCATTATTTTGGATGCAAGTGCATGTGTGAATCTGTATTCCTCTCCATAACACCATCCATCCCTATTTGTTACTTCAATATATTCATGAGACTTAGGAAATAATACACTTTTTTTCTGAGACCTCAATTGCAATCTGTGCAAGTGCTGAGTGTTTTCGGCAGGTATTTAAAACTCCAAATGATTTTGTGGGGAATTTGGGGGCATTAATATAAAACACAACTGCTATCTAGCAGTAAACAATCAATTACCATTATAAATCCAATCTGCCCAGTTACTTCATTTCTTTCTGGAAGTGAAGAACAGTGACAAAGGCTTTGAAAAATTAAACCCTTCAGGTGATACTGATCAAATGATTGCCTTTGTAGATTTTGGGCCCAATGCTGTTTAATATCTTCATAAGTGATCTAAGTAATAAGATCAAGTGTACCCTGATGAAGTTTGCCAATGATACCAAACTGACTGGGGACTGGACACTTCAGATGGGAGAGCCACCCTGTGGGAAGACCTGGATAGGCTGGAAGAATGGGCTAACAAGAACCTTAGGAAGTTCAACAAGGACAAGTGTAAGGTCTTGCACCTGGGAAAACATAATTCAGGAGCACAGCATGGGCTAGGAACTACCCAGCTGGGGAGCAGCTCTGTGGAAAGGGACCTGGGGGTTCTGGTGGACAACAAGCTCAACACGAGTGAACAGTGTTCAAAGTGGCAAAGAAAGCCACCAGGATGCTGGGTTGCATGAACAAGGGCATCACCAGCAGAGATAAAGAAGTCATTGCTCCATTCTACTTAGTGCTTATCAGGCCACACCTGGAATACTGTGGTCAGTTTTGGTCCCTGCTATGCAAAAAAGATGTGGACAGGCTGGAGATGGTCCAGAGAAGGGCCATAAACATCATCAGGGGACTGATGGGAAGCTGCCGTATGAGGAAAGGCTGAGACAACGGGGTTTGTTCATCCTGGAGAAAAAGAAGGCTTAGGGCAGACCTTATCACCATGTTCCAGTATTTAAAGGCTAGCTACAAAGAAGTTGGAGAGTCCCTTTTTACAAGCAGTCACGTGAAAGAGATGAGGGGTAATGAATACAAGTTATTCCTGAAGACAGTTTGATTGAACACAAGAAGAAATTTTTTTTCACTGAAAACGATCAGCCAATGGATTCCTCAACACTGGACACTTTTAAGTTTCAGCTGGACAGGGTGCTGGGCCATCTTGTTGAGATGGTGCTTCTGCCAGGAAAGCCTGGACCAGATGATCTTTGACATCCCTTCCAACCTGGTACTCTGTGATTCTATGTTGCATATTTATGAATGGAAAGTCCATAGGGATGCCACAGATTATTTTAATACTCTCAGCTTTTAAATTGTAAATGTGACCAAATACATGCTGTCTCACCTTCCTACCAGTACTTTACCTCTTTAACCCAAGGTCTCAACCTTTTGTTCCTACGGCTCCTTTCACACAGCTCAGCACCCTGCTAAACACCGTTTTACAGCCTAGGCCACCACCACACATAGCTTTCCAAATCTGTGCTCACTTCACGCTATGCTTCCACCAAATCATATCTTTTTCTCAATCATGATGGTAAAGACTGCGCTCCATGTGTCTCTGGGCCAACCTGCTCACATATCCCCATCTGGAAAGGCACGTTTCAACATTGACTGAGTTCCTGAAGGTCCAGCTGAGCTTGCAAGTAGCAAGGACTAGAAACGGTATCTACAATAGGGAAAAGTTACCAAAGACCTGCTCCTGGCTGATGCAACGGTCCCTGGCTTCAGTGCCTGTTCACCTTATTCCCATCCTCACTGTGGTCTAACACAAGCTTCTTCCACACTTCAGAGAGCAACATGGAAAGGCAGATGGTTGGCTGGCAAGCTGCTCTTGAGCTGCTTGTGAAATCCCCTGGTTCACCAGCACCATCTGGCAGCTTCTGCCAGGTATCGTCTCGTATTCACATAACAAATGAATGAAGCTACTGTGTGGGGGGAGCACTCTGGGCACAATGACCTGTGTTCAGAATCATCACCCGCATGTCACACAGACTGGGAGCAAAAAGATGGGAGTGTCTTCTCTGCTATGCAGCATATAGAGAGAGCTGAACTAGCTTTCAATGTGCGAGTTCAGATCCCAGAAAACTTCTAGCTAGAGTAGTTTAAAGCTCAGCCCTGGTATCTTACTGGAAGCAGGGAGAGTTAGCCCATGCAGAGCTCTAGGGTGATGTGGCTTAACTAATTCCAGAAGTGAAGATTTCATTCAGAGCCAGCTTGGCTATCTCTGCAATGCACTACTCACGTCAGCGCTAGCATGACCCTGGCTGTAAAAGCCTCTCAAGTACACGGCTTCTGCTGCCTCTATTTGGAACTGCAGGCAGAAATAACTTGCAGGCTGGGGCCCTTACAAGCAAACAAGGAGCGGGACTTAGCCACTTGGTTTGTTCTGTCTCAGCATGAGCAGTGTCAAGTCCCTCAGACAGGTCTAAAGCTCTGTGAACTTTCTTCAGTCAGGATGTAAACAACAGACACATTTCACAATTCAAAGAAAGCATGTGATTTTAAAACAAAATGATTCAGTTTACTGCTAGTAACAGTAATACAAATCAATAAGTTCCTTTCAAACAATTCCTGCACTGCTGAGCTTTTTTCCTATTACAATAAACGTAATAGTACCTGCAGATACCCCTCATTTCTTACTCATTTTACAGGTGGAACTTTATACTACTTGAAACACTGATTGCACGTTATCTGTATGTCAAGACCTAACATTACTACTCTCTGTAGGAAATACTGATGATGGGAATGGAGGTCAGATCTGCAGGGGTTTGGAGCAATCTGCAGCATTACTCTGTTCAATCAAACCTCCGTGTCACCTTGCACCATTTTATCTTCCATATAAACCACATAAGTTATAGAAAAAAACATCTAAGGAATGCTTTAAAAATATTTCATTCAATTATTTGTGTATCATTTCCATCTTCTGACTGAAAGACTAACTACTAAGCACACAAGAGGAGGAGAAAAACTGAAACTAATCAATGTTCAGCCACCTCCACCACTGAGCAAAAATAGGTTTTCTAGGTCAAAAAAATGCCATAATTTTATGCTAATGACTCAGGCCCCTTCACAAAGAAAGTAAATAATTTGATTTCAATAAGTAGCCGTGAATCTCTCCTCCCCAAGACAAAATTCTCATTACCACCCTCGAACGGCTCGGAGATGCTGCACTTCGACAATGTGGCATTTTTATATATTGACAAGCTGCCACTAGGACTGAGAGTATCACCCCAGTGGGCTTCAGGCAGGAGGAGAGAGGAAACTGTAATGGGAAGATGCAGCTCGGGAGGTGAAACAGAGGTGTCTTATTCAATAAGGTGACTCCTGGTGAGTAACTCAGCAGTTTGAGTTGCCATGATAATGGATGGGTCTGCCACATGGTGGTACACTCAAGTGGAGTTTGAAGCACTTAGAGAAGGGGGTGAGCAGTTGCCACAGCTGCTTTTACACTCCATGGTTTGGGACTGTCACTGTGCTATTAGTCCCAGTAAATGAGGAATCTTAGATAAATAACAAACTATCACTACTTATCATAAAACTGACCTACAAGTATGACGACAGACACATAACATAAAAGCATATGTGGTTATTTTTACCTTGGCATGATTATAAATATCCACGCAGTTTTCTGTGTTAATGCTTTTTGCGCAAATGATCTCACAGTGCCGTTGTAAAGCTTCAAGCTGGAAAAATTTAGCAGCAGAGAGAAGCTAAAAAAAAGAAGCAAGAAAAAATTGTCAAAACTGCTGAGCGATACAGAATCAGAGCTTCCTTCTTACTGTTTCATTGTATTTTTTTCTCTGCCCCTGCTTCAGCATGAAAGTACTGACAAACAGTCAGAATGAGAAGATTGCTCAGTTGCTTCAACCCTTCGCTGTCCCCTCTTGATCACACTGTGGGAAGCTGTATATGGAGAAACCACCACGGGCTGCTCAGATCCGCGTGCGGAATGGTATAGGGTGGTGGGTGAGAGACAAAAAGGCAATGGCAGCTTGGAGTATCTTTTGTCACTCTGCAAGGAGGGGTCTGCAATTGCATCCCAGGAAAAGAAGGGTTTGGTTCAGCTGCTCCCCAAGCTCTGGCTGAAAAAGAGGGCTGGATGTGAGGCGGTCAGAAGAAGGGCCAGGACCAAAAGTACAGCGGAATTCAAATCAGATGATGACGACCACCCCGGGCAGTCTTAAAAACCTAAAGAGGCAATAAACCTCAAATCTGTCACCTCAGCAGGCTCAAGGAAATGGAGTCAGGTCTATACGCTCCTTGCTCTAGCTCATGAGCAGCAGTAAGGTCATGTCTGGGCCATGGGCACTGGAACACTGTCTGTCTCCATGTTACTCCAGGGAGTGGGTGCACAGAAGGATACAGCGCAAAGGTGGGAGCCAGCTTGGTGCGAGGCACTGCCTAGTTAGCACTCATGTTAGTGTCATGTGTCTGTATCGCTGCACCGCCACGGTTCTCCTGGACCAGGGCTCAAGCTGACCTCCCTCTTTGGCCCTGCATCCACTCTATGGATCTACTACCTGGACTGGCACTGCCTTGGGATCTCTGCACACCACTGTACACTTTGGGTATGAACTGAAGCCTGTGGGGTTAAAATGGCTTAAATTTTGAGTTCTCCAACTGATTTCAGTAGTACTAAGATCTCCCCTATTTCCACCTTTCTGTCCTTTTACATCAGGGAAAAGGAATTTCATTTTTTTGTCTTTCCATGGTAGGCCATTGCCTCTGGCTCCTTGTTCTGGCTTAGGAAGCAGGTTGGGGTTCTTCACTGCTTGACAGCTTGCTCTAACCCAGTCAGGTCTCTTAGGCCAAGCTGTTCAGATGTTCAGGTATTTATACAGCCCTTATCATCTAGGACTGCATAATAAAAAACTATCCTGTGAATCCCAAAAGGACTCTCATGCTGCTAGGTTGAAGCACTGGGGAACAAAACCTTGAAACTTCCATGACATTCTGACTTCTCCTGCACAGCCTGCTCAAGCTCTGCTTTAAGCCCATAAATAAATCCAAGTGCTGTAAATCTGCAGTGCTGATGTGATAGCAGCCAGCTGGCCCCAATTATGAGTTGCAGCAAAGATTTCTGTAGAGTATTTCTGGTGCTTCTTGTTCTCATATTTGTAATAAGGCAAGCTGCTAAATGCGGTTTTGAAAGATAAAGCCAAATCCTATTCCAGCTGCCTTTGTGGCTCAAGCAGTCACGTGCTGGTTTGTAATTACTTTAAACGGTGAGGAACCGTGGCCAGATCTCTTATCAACAGATCAATCAATCAGTCATACATTCTTGAGTCACAGAAGTTTTGAGATGTCACAAAAGTAGAGCAAGCAGCCAGCTGAACTGCAGCACAAGCTTTTTAACAGCCTAGGTGATAACACACACATCTCTATAAAGCCATTGCACTACCTAGTCTAAGACTCCTTATTTCAGACATTTGGGAGTTTCTTTCAAAACTATGAGTGAAATAGGAAATCAGTGATTCTCCCCTATAAAGCTCAGAAAGTCCAAGTGGGTATGCTTAGTTAAAAATCCACCACCTGTACTGGAGAGGGACAATTTCACTCCTGACCAGTTCCATCCTCTGGCTGACAGCACAGTTGGTTCAGATGTCCTTGTACCCCACAGAGTTGATTGGTCACTTGTACCCCACAGAAGAGTTGCTCCCAATTTTTGGTTAGCCGTACTTTGGTAAAAGTACAGATGACACACACAGATGCCCCAGACAACAGTGTCACAGGGACAGACTAAACAATGTAGGCAACAATAAACATCACAGTGCCAGACTATTATCTGTATACTGACAGTTACCAGCTGCTTAAGCAGCTCAGATTTTAGTATTTACTGTCCTGTATTCTTTTTGGCTGCTATAATTTGGTGATTGTAAACAGGAAAACTCCTTGAATGACTATCAAGAATTTGCTCAAATATCTCTTAGTTTTGTTTAGTTGGAGTTGTTAGACTGATGTTAGCTGGCAATGACAGCACACAGTGTTGGGAAAAGGGTGACTTAACAACCATATAGGCTAAGGATGTGTGGCTACACTGAAGACTCAGTCAGCAACAGTCGCTTTGGTTTGGCTTTTGCAAACAGGCCCAATGGCACTGGATGTTTTGCACGCTGTGAGAAAGGGGCAAAGAAGTCTCTGTATCAGGGAGCAGCTTAAGGCTTTATTCAGAACTGACAGTTACATGCTTGAAATTGAACTGAACTGTGACTCCAGTGGGATTTCTCTGATTGTTAAAGCCAGGTACATGCTCAAGAATTTTCCTGAGTGAGGAGCCAAACTGGATGCTTTTACGCTGCTGACACAGGGCTGGACACTTAAGCCTGAGCTAATAAACCAAAAGTAAGAGAGTGGCAGAGAGAAGCTGACCAGCCCAGCTGGAGCAGAGCACTCACCTACCAGGCTGAGACAGAGAGGATGGCATACCATGCTGCCGGGGCTTGCTTCCAGATTTTGGTAACACCAGTTTTGCATTTTCTGGAAGGAGCCTCTCAAAGTATCTAACTAGGTGTTTTTATTTCAGATACTTGCATGGCTTGAAGATCATATTTTTTTTACTCCTTCTCTGACAGCCAGTTTCACACTGGCAAAAGTCACCATAGTGGGTGACTGGCAGAGGAGGAGACTGAGTGTCTCCTGCAGGACTGCAGATAGCCTGGGCACTCTGGGTGAGTGCTGGCTCTTACAGGAGAGCTCATGTCTTGCCCAATGGCCACATGCCCTTGGGTGAATGATACACACATCACTTTGCATTGCTCCCACTGCAATTAAGATAAATGTCTCTTACCTCCATAATTTCATTATTTTTAATCAGGAGTGATTCTGCACCTCCATAATAAAGATACTGCATAACCAGCTGTAATAAAACAAAGGGAGTGTTTATAAAAAGCAATCCAAGACACCAGGGAACAGGGGGTGATGTAAAGGTTGTAGGAAAAACTCAAGGCTCTCCAACACCACCAAAGATTTGTAGATAAAACTGGCCTAAGCCTCCTGATTTCAAGACATATTTGTTTACTCTCTCTCTGCACAGTTCAATATTTCCTTCTCGCAGGTAGTCTAGCATCCCAACCCTCACTAGCCACACTGTCTGGACTTTCTGGTGATCTCCAAACAATTTGCAGCTAATTAATTAATTCTGAATTTTCAATGTATTTCCCATTATGTTCAGTACCTTATTGATTCAGGAAAATATAGCATATATAATGCCTGTTCCCTTATTCTTCCCCTGGTGATGGCATCATACCTTCACCTGGCTGTGTGTGGGCATTCACGGATGATGAAAAAGAGTGGGGGAGGCTTTGCCCTGTAAGATGAGCCAGCTCAGGTCCCTCTGCAGTGAGCTTCCAGCAACACTAAAGTTACTGTAGGCAGCCGTGAATTATCTGCAGTGGCAACAGGCAATACATGGAACTGCTCGAGCTCAGACTCAAGTAAAGGGAAGCGTATACATGGACATGCTACAGATATAGAAAAAGCAGGCTCTGAATTTTCACAGCAAAAAAATGATTGAACAATACTGCTAGGGAAGGGAATGAACGGTGTTTCTTCCAAGCCTGTCCATTAAATACAGAAGAGCCAACAAGAGAAAAAAGAAATAAGTGAAATGCATACTATTGTATCTTGTCGGGCAGGACATCTGCAATCAACAGCACTCTGCAGCTCCGGGCCTGAATGGAGATGAAGCCTGAGCTCATGAAACCACTGCTCTGAGCTACATCTTCACCAAATACATACATACTAATTTGGACAGAGTGCATATGATGTTCCTATTACATGTTCCGTTCAAATTCAATGTGAGAACTGACTTTACCTGAAAGATAGGGTACTTCACGTAGTTGATCTCAATACAAGTACTATCAGATGAGGGCTTGCTAGACAGCAATGCTTTAAACCTAAACAAAAAGGAGCAAGTTTGAAATACCAGCCCAATTATCTCTGTGGAAAAGTACGGCAAAGTGGAAGGACAGCATCAGCTCTTGCAAAAACAGTACACTGAAATGAATGGATGTATCACCCAGAAGCATCAAGATTTGGGCACTGACATAAAATAAAGTTCAAACCAAAAGGAAGAAGCCTCTCCTTTAGGAGATTTCAAATTGAAATTTCAGAAAAATGAATATCACAATAGAATAAAAAGTACATAGGAAATCCAGATTCTGTAATGATGCTACATGATCATTTAGGAACACTTGCAACATTTAAAAACCGCGTATCTTTTTTGAAGGAGATAAATTTTGGTCTATGTCCATTATGCTGCTTTAAAAAATGTTTTTGACCAAAATATTAAAACAACCACAGCAAGACTTTCTATGCTTCTGTGCAGGCTCAATACAATTGTGTAAGACGAGGCAGGAGAGAAAACGGGATAGGTTGCTGTTCTCTGATTATGAAAACCTGAAATTCAGACACAAGTTTGAGGAAAAAAACCACATTATAAGTTAAGTGCAGATTTATGTGAGGTATATACATATGCAGCAATCAATTTCTCAAAATCAGATATTCCCATTTGATCAAAAGGTGAAAATGGGAATGTGCTGTCAGAAACATCTGTCCTTATATGTGCTCTTTTTGATAATTCATCTGACCATATAGTGGTAGTGCAAAGCTTGGCTTATCTAGCAAGACCAGCATTTGCTGGATGGCAACCTTTTCCCTACCACGACTGCATCTTGTTAATTAAAATATGGGTAAAAATTGATTTACTTTTACTAGTGTCAAACTCAATTACAAACACAATTTAGTAGGTTTAAAGCTGAGTCTGGAATGTGTTTGTACCTCTACCAATAAGCTTTATAGCAAAATATCCATTTCTTAATTGAAGACAGGGTCAGATACTGTAGTTGCTTTATGCAGATCTCTTTGCTTGGTGCTGTGGGTTGGCAGCATGTCTAGCATCAATTCCCACATTGCTTGAACTACCCAAACCACACTTTATGTCCTTATATTAAATGTCCACATTTTGAAAAAAGCTCTTATGGAGGGTCAGCTAAATTTGTTTAAAAACACACCTTTCATTATAAAGCTGCAAGCAAATATGGTTTGTGAGCAACTTTAAAGATGGGATGAGCTGGATAACCCATGTCCAGCCTTCTGTGCACAGGGAACAGACTATAAATACTGCCTTTGGCTATAGTACAATAGTTTTATAGTTATTTAATTTTATTTAAAAAATGTCAAATGCTGCCCATGAATTATGTGATAGCAGTTTGTTTCTCCTGGAGACCGCCTACACCAATGGAAGGCAGGATTTAGCCACTCGTAGGATACATGATTATTAAGAATCAAAATATTAAGCTTCCTCTATGTTTAAGAGCTGGATGCAGCAACAAGCTCCATGCAAATGTGCCTCAGTGGAATGAAGTCAGATGCATGGCCAGAAGCACGGATCATTCAGTGAATGGGGATCTAGTGATGGGAGCATTTGCTAAATGTCCTGCAGATATACCAGAAACATGCCACTATGTTCTGCTTAGGAAAATCTTGAAGATTGGGTCACTAGCCCTCGAAGAATCTTAACAGCAGAAAATGCAAAACAAAACCACAAAATCAAATACTATTGTTGTTAAAGACCAGAAATATCTATATTTTACCTTGGTGATGCAGTAAATAGCAACACTCTATGTGCATAAAATGGTCTTCCTTCCACCAGAAATGTAACATCTGACATCTCTTTGTTATTAAGAAAATGGGGATCTAGAATGACAAAAAAAAACAAAACAAAAAACAAAACAAAAAACAAACAAACAAACAAAAAAAACTTTAGTTTGGAAGAAGTCATGAGCACACAGAATATTTTCCTTTTCTGAGAAAAGGAGACAACAATGTAAAAAGATATTGTTTTTAACGAGTAAATCCCATAAAGTAAAACCTATTTGGACAAAAGCCCCCTAGACAGCTATGTGGTTTGGACAAAGGGAATTCAAAGCTCTGAAGTCCACAATGACGTTTGCTGAGAGCCAAGTTGTCCCCACTGTGCAGAGCTGGCACAGCCCCCCAGCTCTGCTACTCCAAGCAAACTGCAGCTGAAGGGGTGCTGGAGGGCCCTACACTCACCTACACCCTATTACGCCCCTCTCCCTGTGTGGGGTTGTCTTCATGCTGAGGGGAAGAGGGTCCTCAAAAACCGCTCAGGTCTTCTCCCAGTCACACGGGAACAAGCTGGGCCCTGTCAGCAGGGCTGGGAGGGCTGTGCCACCGTGGCACCACCTGCAGCCAGCCATGCTGGTTTCAGACGTGGCCAGATGTTTGTCTCTGGGCCCCAGGCTGGGGTCCCAGCCTAATCAGCAACGCAGACAAATCTCTGCAGATTTATGGTCACACTGTAACACACCTGACGACCCTCCTGATTTCAGCGGGTGTTTCAGGTCAGGCTAAATATTACGTCCTTCCTTTTTCTAGGTCTGCTTTTCAAACTCGTTTTTCTCTGGCACATGACCCCTCCCCTGCCAAGCACCCAGCCAGCGTTGCAGACTTTCCACAGCTCTCCTTGGAGGACCAGCAAGTGTCTTCAAGTCACGCTTACCTAGGCGAGAGGTCTGCTTGCGCTTAATTTCAACGAGCTTTGGAATAGGGTAGGGTCCATAGCAATGAGTGAAAATGACAGAGAGCTGCTGGCTGATCACTTCATTCTAAGCAAAAGAAAACAAATACATGCAATGTAAGCTTTGTAGCAAAGTTGAGACCAGTGTGCAAAGGAGATGTTATGTTGTCCACACGACTTGCCTGTTTTGAAGCCAAAGAATGTGACTGCTGAAGCTTTATTAAAATTCAGATCTTAGGATTATCAGTTTTTGTTAGGAACTGCAATTCTCATTTACTTTGATTGCTATGTCTCTTGTAGGAATCAGTTAAAATGAAAAGTCCTTTCCTTGGACCAAAGGTCCTCCTTTTCTAAGAAACTCCATAGCTCCTGTCCCCTCCACAGAAACAAAGCTCCTTTACAAGAGCAATTTAATTTCATTTGCAAACCTAATGTAGTGGAAAATGACTTTTTGTCTCTCTAGAAAACGGTCATTTGGTCACATTTCAGAAACTCAGAGCTACAAAACAGATAAAGCTGCACAGCCCTCATGCATTTCTAAGCATAACAGTCTCACAGACACAGACACCCTCCCTTGCAGAGTGACAGAAGCATCACAGTATGCTACTGCATCTCCTTATTCAATCCCATAGGTTTCATTAAACTGCTCTTACACTGCTGGCAACAGCTTGGTGAAGTGCTGGGGTTAAACCCCCATCCCTGAATGAGGGTTGGCATAGGGATGATGTCCAAAACCAGGCAAGAAAGACCCTCCTGATTGATTTTCACCCAGGGTCTGGCCAGCCTTGGGTGGGAACTGATGAGGAGAGCACCAGCAGGTGCCCCTGCCTTCCACAGTAACTTGTAGGTGGGACAAGAGGCCACCTCTATAAGAGCTGACTCTGTTTGCAGTGGGGTTGGGAGGTCTGCTTATGCTGTGGATGTGCTGTGTGGGGATTGTAGTTATTGAAAGGGCTCCCTGAGTCTTCAGAGCAAGTGCAGCTCCCAGCACGGTGGGGCAAGATGATGAATCTCTCTCTGGGGAACTACTACATAATTGGACTCCTTGTCTGGCTGGTTCCACCTACCATGGTATGGTTCCTTCACCAGCCTGCTCCCTTCTTCACGTAATGTGTTGTGAGTGAGTGCATTAACTTATTCCTCCCTCCAGTGGTTGGGCAACTTGGATCTCTGGTGTATGACTTAAGAGTGGAGGAAGGACTTTGGTTGCTGGTTTGCCCATTACTGATAATATCCTTCCATGTTGGGCAAGTGGTGGTCAGCAGAAGACCTGGGCACCACTGTCCTAAGGAAGCCACCAGATGTTCAGAGAACCAGACCTGGTCCCTGGCCTTACCCATTTTTGACCAGACTCCAGGGGAAAGGTACCCACAGACCACTTTCCTAAGCAACTTGAGTATCTGTATGCCTAAGCTGCAAGGATAGTGAAAAGGACTCAGTGCTTAACTACCTAAGACACAGCCAAAAGCAGGATATAAAAGCTTTTGCAAATGTTACCCTAGTCTTTGCTGTTACCCGGAGCAGGTCTAGCGAGTTCAGTGGTGCCGTGTGGCATGATTCAAGGTGACATCTTTTAACTACCCTGTTGGTTAGTGATTCCCTTCCACACCAGCAAACTGTGGGAAGGTGAGGCACTTGGATATGAGAGGGTCCAAGGCCAAGGAAATAAGCAGGTGAAGGCAAAAAAAAAAAAAAAAATAATCCATGAGAAGTGTAGATGTTATACTAAAAATAACTCCAAGCTCATAGAGCAGAAATTGAAGCTTTCCTTTCTCTGAGCACAGTTTGCTCAATTCTAGCAGCAGTGCTTCTTAAATCCCACGAGGGAGGAGGAGGAGTGGCAGAGATCCTGTAATGACTCCCTTACTGCATCTAATCAAATGGGATGGGAAAGGGTAGAGCTGTGCTGTGCCCTCACAGGCACATGCTGATGTCAAAGGAAATTACACGCGCTCGCCTGCAGGCAGAAGTTGGCTCCTATTACTATGTCAGATGTAGCACTGAAAGAAATGCTAAGATAAGAGAAATACTGATCCTAAGAGACACCATTTAGCATGGTGCAGAGACCAGCCCTTAGAGAAGGGCTCACCACTGTGCCTCTGAGACAAGGAGGATGTGTCGCACCAGGAGCATCTCTCTCTTCAGCATCTTCCAGCTGGAGCTCTGCAAAGCACTTCACAAAGGGAATGAATCACAGGGCGAAGAGAAAAGGAAGATTTAAGGCCAGATTTAAAGAAGGAAGTGACTCAGCTGCCGAGGGGGCTGAGGGGGAGAGCTCTAGACAGACAGGGCAGAAAGAGCAATTGCTTTTCTTCTCGGAAGGGCTGTGCCAAAGCGCCACTGCCGCCTGAGTCAGGCAGGGAGGAATGTGTCTGGGGGAATGCTGATTACCAGCAGGGCAGCTCCCAGTTGGATCCTGCAGACACTAAGAAGTCAGTAAACACAACAGAGGATGGGGACAATTTTGCAGTTCAGAGCAGAGGGAAGCTTCTGGAGAGGAGAGGTGTAATTGGAAGCCCAACACTCACCTTTACCTGCAGTGAATAAAAGCAGAGTAACTGCACTAAAGAGAATAGCTACTGACAGCTCCCTCTTGAATCTGCTGGGGTGCAGATGTCTATGCCACCAAGGTTTTATTTAGTGAGTCTATGAACTCAGCAGTCCAAGCCACAGATGTGCCTGGGTGATAGCTTTTTAAAAAACCACACATACATCAATGAAGACAACACATCTCCTCCTTCAGTGGTGCCCTTGAGGAGACACTGATGGAAAAGCTGGAGGTCTCACTTACCAATTTGGGCTATGGCACTGTGTACCAGGACATCCAGGTGCTCCAAGACTGGGGAATAAGAGGCCAAATCTAGTCACACAGGTGGGAGAAGAGGATCCCTTCTCATAACTCCAGCCAACATGGTTAACGGGTTGTGCACACGGACAACCCCATGGGAGCCTGCCTACACATGTGAAGTGCTGCCAGCTCCTTGGGTCAGCACTGGGGCAAGAACCCTGTGGTGTGCAGATACAAGCCTATTATAAAGCTATCTTGCCAGTGACTGCCCACAAAACCTGTGAAAAACCTGGTGCACACCAAGCTCTAATCAGCTCAAGATGTGACACATTCACAACAGATGCTTAAAAACCCTGAAACAAAAAACAGAGATGGGACAGTGACAAAAGAGATCTTAAGATCAGCACATCAAAGAAAGCAGGGCCATCAGGCAGACAGTGGCTCGATGTATTGTGGAGCTTCAGAACTCCAGGACACTGATCTCATTTGGCAGAGAGGAGGTTGGAGACCTTTAGCTTCTGTCAGTAACATTAGATACTTACAACGCATGACACCAAAAGGCCAAGAAAAGTACTCGGCTAGAAAGCTGAAGCATGTGCTCATTCAGAGTCACCACTAACAAACAGCAAGTTTTCTCCCCAGGACACAGGGAAGGGAGTGGTGAGCTGTTAGAGCAGAGCGAGCTCACTTCCCACCCCACCCCACCCCACAAGCAGCCAGGCTAACAGGGCTGTGGCCCTGGATCTGCTCACCACAGAGCCTCTGTTGGCTTTCACCAATACACCAGGCAGAAAGGGACACCCCAGAGGAGAAAGAAAAGAAATGCTTTGTGACTGGATGGCTAGGGAAAAAAAATGGCTTTTTTTCTGGACTAGACTGAGCTGGGCTGCCTGTGAAGTCACCAGGAACAACTTGCCAGAGCCCACAAGCTGGGGCACCAGCATTGCTCTGGCAGAGAGGAGGACACCTCCAGCCTATTCAACCTCCCCCTTCCCACAGTGCCTACACTGGGAAGCTCAGAAGCCGCTCTGGTTACCACATCCAATTCATTTAAGCACTAAGCTGGATAATTCGTCCCTGTTTATCCTATCACTCTACTAGCTGACTGTGAAAGAGCAGCTGTACGAGCTCACTGCAGCAGTTGTGGGTGGCAATCTTAACACTGGAGGAGCGAACCAAAGTTTGTTTTCTTGTTACAGTTTGATGCTAGAAAACATTGTGCCAGGACGTGTGAGGCTGAGACGTGGAGCGAGGCCAGCTTCCTCTCAGACATGGGCGTGCATTCGCAGTCAAAGGGACCCGATGCACTTCTACTGTGGGAGGAGGAAGAAAGCTTGGCATAGGATATAATAAAAATATTTACCTAGCCATGGGGCCGTTTGCAGATAGGCAAGAGGGAACAGGGAACAACAGTGAATCTTCTGAGGGATAGGGTGCTTCCAGCAGAGTTGGTTGTTGAGCAAGCAGCTTTGCTTTGTAGATAGAAGCGGCCTCCTGACTTAAAAGCATTCCTCAGTAGAGATCTAAAGGAATTCCCCACTCCTGGTGAATGCACTTGAACTGCAAGGGGAATTCATAAATTCTTTTGAAGCAAAGCTGAAGGTTTTCAAGTTGCTGGAGCAGAGGTGACTAGTCAATTGATCTGAAAAGAGGTGAAGATCTGGGCGGGGAGTGCAGGGTTATTTCTTCCTGAATGTCCATCTGATGAGGGTCTGTGGCAGGATTCAGGAAAGGCTCCTCCAGATTTCAGCACATACCCTCGGAGAGCTTGCTCCATTCCAAGCTTACCCAGTTCAACCCAGCCTCATCATTCTGGGATGGGTCCTACACAAGGTACTGGACATGGCTGGGAAATACAAAGCCAGTTAACTCTCCAGTACTTGTGGAAGATATGTGTCATCTTGGTGGCTATGCTCCAAACTATCAAGGGCAAAACTTGAGTTTGATTCAGCAGTTAGACTAAGGTTTTGCTCTTCTCTGACCACACTTTGCTTCAGCTGTCTCTTCTTTATAGGCTCCCCTATTCCCACACCACAGCTTTCTGGACTGCCCAAAACTCACTGCTTAGTTCTCCTGACAGGCCTGTATATACTCCACCACCTTGATGTGGCTGCGTTCTACAGAGGTAACCAGTAAGGCTGCTCTTCTTTGCCTCCAGAATCCCAAGGAGTACTTTGGGTTTTCCTGCTATTGATGTCACCCTCACCAGCTTAGCCCCATTAAAACCCATGTAACCTAAGTGTGCCAGGCCCTCTGGCTAATTATCTCTACCACAAAGCTCCAAACCCAGAAACTCATCA